TTAGGTTCCCTTGTATTTGATGACTACGACAATCATCAGTGAAAGTTATATATAAATTTATTTCATATTTCAAAAATCATGTGTTTTGCTTTTTGTAGTTTTCTCAGCTACCACAAACCGATACAACATATTTCTTTAATTAGAGGGATTACGAAAGATTGACATATCTATTAAATCAATATAAGTTCCAATATAATCAGGGTCAAGGAGCAGCGTGGCAGCGTCTTCATGTCTAACTCTAGTTAGTCATACTAACTCTCCTGACGAAGGCCCTCAGGACGAAACGTCGAGAGAAGTGTTTTCTCTATTTTAGGCAGTTGTTATGCCACATTTGATGCTATCTATTAAATCAATTATGTCAAGATTCCTTGTAGTAACTCACGTCAAGAAGACAAATTTGCCCTTGATTTACCCTGACCCCGTGTCAACAGAAATCACCTGACTTTTGATTTGCAACCGAACTTCCTGTTTGTTTACCAGTTTCATATTATATCAGACTGGAGTCTCACATGCACTAACATCGTTCAAAGACGGACTGGTATAAAGCGATCAACTATATCATGCACAAGCTTCGAGGAAGAAATTTGAAGTAACAACGATCTGCAGTTTGAAGTTTGCAATCAAAACGAACAGGTACCATTCAGTTTAAAAAATATATAAACTGTACGAGAAAACATATGGTAAAATCATTTTGACTGTACCCGTTTTATTATCTGGCTGGTCAATCAAATCGGCCAAAATCTGTTTATTCAAAGCTGATTTTAAGAGAGTATTTGGCACACAATAAAACGAAAATATGCCTTTATAACTTTTGGCGAATTAATGTTAATGTGCGATATTCGCTCTATGTAGCTATATCTTTACCGATGTATTTTGGATTCATTTGAAAAAAACTGCATGAGAAAGATATGACGTCATTCCTCATATTGACCAACATAAGTAGCTAAAAATGCGAAAACGTCTCATTTCATACGCTGATACCAAGACCTGTGTCAAAATGTTTCCCAAGCTCTGTCGAGAGGTTTTAAAAATTTATTATGTTGTCTTTCTGCGACAGTAAAATTATATTAGACGGACTTCCCGTTTCATAATATCCTTGATTCCTAAAACACCGTGTTCATTTTCCCCGAACCGCTTCGAAGCGCCGGGCGAGGGTACTAAGAGCCTGTTTATCAGTTTATGTGTATGATCCCGTCTAGCTGGGACGGGACGTCCTTATTCCACTTGGCCGGGAAACTCGTCTAGGCAGAATGTCATGTTTATATGGAGTTCATTTTGTAGTACAGGGGCCGGTTGTATGAAAGCCGGATAGCGCTATCCACCGGATAGTGTTTTTTCAATCGCTTCAAAATCGCCCGTTATTTGCTAAAACTTTGATTAAATTTTAGTATTCCTAAATCGAAGATCCTCTTAAATAATTGTTGCTTCCAAGCTGAAATTTTATCGCTTTTCAAGCATTTTTAGAACGGTTGAAAAAATCACTATCCGGTGGATAGCGCTATCCGGCTTTGATACAACCGGCCCCAGTTTCGTTCTACGTCATGTTTTATTTTATTGAATGTAAACTTAGTGTGTTCAAAACGTCTACTCGTATTTCCTTGTTTATTTGTACGTTCTTTTACGAGGCCTGAAAGTTATAAAATATAAATACTTAATTAAACTTGAATATATACAAATAATAATCAATCAATCAATCATTTTTTATTGATACCAGAATTGTTACAGTGAAAGTTACAAAAGGTTATTAAAACAAAGTAGTCGGTACCAGCTAGCTGTAACAACCGTAAGGCTGAAGAAAACAGCTAGCTAATAGTAATTATTTAAAAAAGAATTTTTACACGCAAGAAGTTAATACGACGAACCAAAGTTCCACACATATATATACAGGTATAATCGTAAGAAGTTGACGTTGTTAACTTGGATTGTTATGTATCATAATATGACTGTAATAACATTTTTTTCATTTCTTGTTTAAATTTAGATTTCCCAAGGCTTTTAAGATTTTCATCAATACTATTCCATGCCTTAGGGCCGGCAAATCTAATATTATATTTGCCGTAATTTGTTCTTATTTTTGGAAGAGAATAAGATGATCTTGAAGCAAGTCTGGTATTATAGCTGTTTTTTTGACTAATCGGAAAAAAATCTTGGAAAGTGGCTGGTAAATTCCCAGTATGATAATCAAACATAAATAACACATTATGAAAAAAGGTCAAGTCATGAAATTTCACGATATCTAAATATATGAAAAGAGGATTGGTATGGTCATTATAATCTGAAAAGGTCATTAAACGTACTAATTTTTTTTGTAGAATAGAAATCCGATTAAGAGATGAGACATAGGTGTTGCCCCAAGCCACCAGGCCATATGTTAAATAAGGATAGATTAATGAATAATAAAGATTCTTAAGTATATTAATATTGACCAAACTCCGTAATTTATAAATAATCCCAATATTTCGTTTAATTTTTTTCGAAATTTCAGATATGTGTGATTTCCAGTTCAAGTGACAATCAATTAAGATACCTAGATATTTAATAGTCTGTTCACGCTTAATTTGTACTGCATTTAAAAGTAATTGTATATTGTAATCAATCTTTTTCTGAGGTGGATGAAAAATAACATAATTGGTTTTTGCAATGTTTAGAGACAATTTATTAGTACATAACCATTGATATACCCTTTCGAGTTCCTTTGTTATTGTCGATTGTAATAATGAAAGATTTTTGTTTGTATAAAAAAGACTAGAGTCATCAGCGAAAAGATGAAACTCAAAAACATCTGATGAGTTGTGAAAATCATTGATATATAATAAAAATAGAAGGGGTCCAAGGACTGATCCTTGGGGCACTCCACAGGAAATGTCCATAATTTCAGATTTAACATGGCCTATAGATACAAATTGCTTTCTATTATCCAAATAAGATTTGAACCAGTCATTCATAACCTCTAATACCATAATACTCTAATTTTTGCAGGAGGATACCATGATTGACCGTATCAAATGCTTTGGATAAATCTAAAAATATTCCACAGCAATATTTGCCATCCTCTATAGCCCCTTGTATTTTGTCAATAATTGAAAGAATAGCTTGTATTGTAGAATGTTTCGAACGAAAACCAAACTGGTTCTTGTATAAAATATTATATTTTTCAATGAAATTAATTAAGCGTTTGTAGATAATTTTCTCAAGGAGTTGGTTAAATATAGAGAGAAGTGAAATAGGGCGATAATTGGTTAAAATAATATGTGACCCCTTTTTGTATATTGGTATGACATTAGCTATTTTGAATTTATCAGGGACAACACCCATGGTCATCGAGCAGTTAAATATATGTTCCAGTGGTTTAGAAATACCTGTGGCTATAATCTTCAAAATACTGATTGGTATACTATTTGGACCAGTAGATTTAGAAGACTTTAATGTATTGATTTCATTTTCGATTTCGTTTTGACTAGTAGGATTTAAAAAAAAGGAATTGAACTGTTGTAATGGCATAAATGACATTACAGATATGCTAGTGTCTGGAATGGATTGAGCAAGACTATTACCAATATTGGTAAAAGACTCATTGAAAGCATTTGCAATAGCTTTACTATCTGTAATCTCAGTATTATCCCTTAAGATCTTAGAAGGCGTGCTGTTTGAAATAGGGTTAAAACTTATAATCTGTCTTATCCCTTTCCATATATTTTTAATATTAGCACTATGTATAGTAAAATAATTATTATAATAATGAGTCTTACTTATTTTAATAAGATGATTTAATTTATTTCTATATATTTTAAATTTAGCATGGTAGTAGAGTGACTTGGTTCTAATATATTTTTTATACAAGTTATTTTTTATTTTAATAGAAGTTTTAATTCCTGCAGTAATCCATGGGTTACCAAGATTTTTAATAGCTCTTTTACTCAGTTGCTTAGAAGGGGCATGTTTATCGATAATATTAGAAAGTTTTGAATAGAAATCATCAAACAAGATATTGGGATCATTATTTGTAGAGTCAAGATTCCAAGTAGTGTTCTGAATTTCATTAATAAATGAGGCTTCATCAAAATTAGAATAATCTCTCTTATAAATCCGGAGATTCTTTGGTAGAGTTGAAAATTTGTTAATAATAATAAAATTAGGGAGATGATCAGTAAGTTCATAAATTATATTACCACTAATTACATGATGAGCAACCGAATTAAAAAAGATATTATCAATCAAAGTGGCTGAATGTTCAGTTATTCGAGTTGGCTGTAAAATATGAGGGTGAAAAAAATGTGAACCCATAGTGTTTATAAAGTTGTCGGTAGATGGGTGTGAATCATAATTTAAAAGATTTAAATTAAAGTCGCCCATTATAATACTATACTTATTTTCCTTACTGATTATATTAAGAGTTTTATCTAAATATACCATAAATGCTTCAAGATCACTTTGTGGATGTCTATATATTACTCCACATAAAATATTATGATTCATATTACTACTCTGTATCTCAATCCAAAGTGTTTCGAAATCTGCAGTAATCATGGAGAGATCAGGCCTTTTTGTATAATGAATATTCTCTCACAAAAAAAGCAGTTCCACCAGCATTCGATAGGCTAGGTTGGGATATAAACGTATAGCCGGGCATGTTAAAATTACAAATGGTTTCTTTACTTACTTTAAATTTAATCTCTGTTAGACCAATAATTGAGAAATTATGGTCCAGAGCATTTAGCATTTCAACTAAGTTATCAAAGTTTGCTGCCAAACTTCTAATGTTAGAATGTAAGCATGAGAAAAAATTTTTAGATTTGATACAATTGTTTACTTGGTCATCATTCCTAAAATCATCAGGAGAGTAATTTTGGAAATTCGATTGAATAGGTATATGAAGATCTGGATCTAAATGAGCTATCTGAGAGCTTATATTTATGCTATTAGAAGACATAAAACAAATAGCTAATCATACGATATTACGTACTATAATTGTACGTTCAATATAAACAGAAGTAAAGGTTCTAAGAGTTCATGATTTTTGTCAGGTCTCTCCAATTGACTACAGGGATTGTTGGGCTAGACTCATTTTTTCTAAGAAGGATCTTACCAGAAGATGTCCATATATACTTGAAATTTTTTTCTCTTCTAACTTCGAGACATTTGTTGAATAGCTTTCTGTTCTGGTTCGTTAGGCTTTCCACAATGTAGATTTTCCTGTCAGTAAACCGGGTGATACCAATATCTTTTATTGATTTATCTCGTAAAACTTTCCTCTCTCGATAAAGTTTATCTCTTACATCTCGACGATTAAACTTGACTATGATAGCGGGGTCACGACCATCTGAGGCTCTCAATCTATGGCTAATTGAGATATCTTGATCACTGACATGAACACCAACTTCTTGACCAATTCTCTTCACTATTTCGTTGGTATTCTCTCCCATAACCATCGGGATTCCTCGTATTTCTAGGCAATCTCTCCTAGAGTATTGCTCGAGATCATTGACTTCAGCTTTCAGCATTTCTATATTATTGACTGCCTCATGGAGTTGTTTCCTTAAGCATTGGTTTTCTTCTTGGACATCTTTCATTAGATCATTCGCAGAATCATATTTTGTAATAAGTTCATCATATTTTGAACTGAGAAAGTCAATAGACTCTTCTATCTTGTCTATTTTGTTGATTTTATGTCTGAGATCATCCAGGGTTTTCATCACTGGATTCAGCTTCTTATCCAAGATATTTCCGATTAATTTTGTTAATGCTTTCTCATCCATCGCATCAATAAGTTGATTTGCTTTATACTAAGCAAAACTAATGAAAAGATTGTAAAAACGGAAGGCAAATACAAGCAGATTTAGTTCAAATATGTCGGATCACAAAATCCGCCATCTTACTTCTCGCGTGCACGTGTCACACTGACCAATCTGAACTAGTCATAAAAATTTATCGATATAAGTTAGTTCTATATTACAGATAAAAATAAATGTTCATATTAAATTAATCATGTCAAAATGTTCATAAATGTTCACTTAAAAAGATGTACTTCAGTCAGTGACTTAGGCAGTTCAATGAATTTATCAATAAAGAGGAAATCTGATCAACTTTGACCCTAGTTCGTTCCATATACTGGAATGATAAGATCACTTCCCGATCTAGTGTTACGGTGATGAAAATTAGACCTACGTATTTGATTAAGTTTAAAATCTATAAGGGCATTAAAGCTTTTAAAAAACATGCACGATCGATGAAAGCGTCTACGTTTTAATAAAGACTTCCATCCAAGGGTCTGAATAGCATCACTAGCTGAGGAATATAATGGTCTATTAAGGATTACTTTTGTTGCTTTATTTTGTAATACTTGAAGTCTTTCCATCAAGGTATTATTAAATCGGTCACCCCAGACAATATCTCCATATTCCATTATAGGTTGGATCACAGTTTTATAGACAATTCTCTTCGATTGTCTCGGTAACAAATGTTTTACACGTTTTAGCAAGCCAAGCCCCTTTGCGACCTTCGATTGGACATAATCAATGTGATCGGACCACTCAAATGTTTCGTTAATCATTATGCCAAGATATTTAAATTTGTCAACTTGGTCAATTAATTCTTCGTTGATTGTCAATTTAATGTAATTTAAACGCGATAGCCTTTGCTTTCCTCCAATAACCATGAATTTAGTCTTGGAAACATTCAAAGTCAACTTGTTTATTTTCATCCACTTGCCAACAACTTTCAAGTCAGCCAAATCGCTTAAATGTAAACTAAAAAGAATAGAGGACCAAGTACGCGTATCATATTTCTATATAAGTGTTGCAATATACAATGTTTTTTCGCCTGGGCTTCTGGTACTCTTAAGATTCGTATTTGGAAAGCATCGGGGTAATGGAAAGTATATGTTCTGGGACATCTTTTTAATAATGCACTTTCGTTTGAAAATAATTCTTATTTCGAATGACACTTTCGCTTGTCCGATGCAAATGCGCGACTTGTCCAGGTTTGTATGGAAGAAACAAGCCGCGCGTACAGTCTGTTGCAGAAACTGGCTCTAGAACGTAGTGCGCAGGTCTATACCTTAAGATAGCACCAAAATTTGAATCCTCGTCAAATTCCGCGTATTTGATAATAAATTTATGCATATTTTCGACGATTTCGGGATGGCAAAATAAGCGCAAATATGTGGGTTTGGATATTGTTTGGCTGCTCATTATGTATTCAAGTGCTTGTCGCTGTATCCCTTGTAGTGAATGCGCAACAAGTTTCTATCACGATCTACTTCTCGTACCTCAATCTCGTAAACACCTTTATCACTTGCGGACTTTTTGGAGTATTTAGACAAAGGCTTAGAAGTGAAGTCACCGTATTGTTTGGCAAAACGTATTGGTTGACGTAAGGTTCGCTTAGGTCTTTGCGACATTTTGTTTACATACGAGTGTCATATTGCGCGTTATTCATAGCGTGCGGGGCACTGGACACAAGTTGAGGCAAATGTTCTTGATAGTACTACGAAAGTTTGATATTGAAGTTGTGCGCATGCGCGAGTTTAAGACGAGATGAAAAAATCACCTTTGGGGGACAATTGTTGAATAATATATAGTGCATGGTAATAGCTACGTATCTATTTTAGCGTAAAAAAGTGCAACCACCAAATCTGTCTTTATACAGTCCACAAACAATTTGGTTTTAGTTTATTCAAAATTGCGGATCATTCAAGAGAACTTGTTTCGTTTATTTTTAGAGATTCAACATGCTTCTCCTGAAAGCATTTCTTTTGCTAACCGTTTTGATACCAATGATAACATCAACGACAGATGTTGAAACTCGGAAGAAACGATCAGTAAGTTCCTACGCCGTTGAAGGTTACTACTCCTTATTTCCAGCCGCAAATCTGACAAAGCAGATGTGGGGTCACAACTCCAATGTAAGGTGTCAAGAAACATGCAGAGAAAAGGGTTACATTTTGGCGGCGACGAAAGGGGACCAATGTCAGTGTGGAAATGTCTATCCCAGGGGGAATAAAGTGAACGACAGTCAATGCACCAGCAGATGTCGATCGTGGTCGTCCTGTCGTGGAGCTCAAAGCTGCTGCGGTGGACCCAGTGCTTATACCGTGAGCGTCGTTGGCAACATTGATGTCGCGAAACAAGTACTTCGTAGACTAAGTCACGAGTGGCAGACAAATACAGGATTCCGGAATTACATGAAATCGCTTGTTAGAAGACCGACTACAGGAAGTCACGTGGAGGACTGGTCGAAATTGTTTAACCGTCGAGGTTGGTCACTGTGTGGGCATGGCAGGTACATGGCGGGATTATACAGGAACAGCAGAAGGAGCAATGATTACATTCATCTTATTGAGCAAGCATATTGTGTCGATGCGCCTGGCGACCTGTATTCTGCAAAAAAGGATCAGTATTGTTACGACCACAACTGGTGGAAAAGTTTCAACAAGAAAGGTTGGTCTACGTGCAGTAACGGTTACTACATGACCGGACTCTGGCGAAATTCGGGAAATAAACTATACCACATCGAAGAAGCCAAATGCTGCAAACCGAAGTCCCAGGTTACACGATGGGGAGAATGTTACAATCACAATGCCTGGAAGTCATTCAATAACAGAGGATGGACCGATTGTAAACCTGGATACTACATGGTGGGGTTTACAGGAACTCATGTAACAAATTATACTGCCTGGAAGAGTTTAAATGCTGCAAAATGGGAGCTTACAATGGTTACTCGTGGCTGGAAAGACCGGATCTTGTGATAAAAGTTAAAGATCAAGGACAGCTCAAGCAGTGCTCAATGAATGCGATGGATTATTCTGCTGATAGCGAAACATACAAATGCAATGCCATCTCCGATCGCTCCAACATGTTGGCAATTAATGCATTGAAATTCAACATCGAAGACAAATCGCCACTGAACGTCGCCAAACCTGAACCTGTCCCAGGCTTTCGTCCTGTCATATGCTCCGCTCATTCCAATCCATACAAGTGTACCAAATGGCTCACGACATCTGTATCAACTTCATCCACCTTAAAGGTCGGTTCAGGATTCTCTGTGGCGGTGACAACATTGGGGTCTGCGCAAGTCGGTGCACCTAAGTTTGGTATCGGGGCCTCCTTCGGATTGGAAGTTACGAAAACAAAATATTTTAACGTCGAATCCAGTATTACAACAACGTACACGACTACGGATAAGACGGATGTTTCCATTCAAGTACCGAAAGACACTGAAATCACCATCAACCTTCTGAGAACTGTCCAGGACTTGGAGTACAAGTGGAAAGCAATTTTCGAGTTTTCGGGGAAATACTCTGCGAAATGGAGCAATGATCAGGAACTCTTCCAGGATGTGACGACTGTGTTGTCTGGGTCAAAAAGTGAAATGTACGCATTTGGTACTTGGAGTTACCCAGATACAGATGTCTTGAGAGTGGTGATCACTGACAAGTATGGAAATAAGAAATCTGAGGGATGTGAGCATGAGCCGGGAAAAGCAAACGCTTGTGATTTGTGAAGAAGACCACGTACTTGATTTTTTTGCCAACTTTATATAATTATAACCTTCAGCAAACTAGCTAACTATTTAGTATTCATTGAGGGAGTTTTGATCAGCCAATATCTTCGCTAAGTGAGCAAACATATAGTCGATTGCTTATAGAAAGAGAAAATTATAAATGGGACGATCAGTTTCAATACATTTAAACTAAAATTAGGGATTGTAGCTAAATAATAAGTTCATTTTTATTAATAAAAGTTAATGTTTCTTGCAGTTTGGTCCAATATTGTTTTAAAATATTAATCCGTGCTTTTGCTTACATATATCTTGATCGCCTGCTGCGCATGCGGGCAGAAAATGAAAGCACAAATGATACCTGCACGATAGCACAGATGTCTGTAAAAGGAAGCTTTGAATACTCCGTAATTTCAGCTGCCAGTCAAAACACATAAGTGCAGGGGGGGCGGGGCACAACTCAAACATAAAATGTAAAGAAACGTGCAACGGTGAATCATGAGCTCCCTGTCGTTGACGGATAACAAAGACTTTATAAAATGTAGCAAAAATCTCCGTTAACATGCTGCCCCTGCAAACTATGGTAGGGGTCTGGATTTTCGTCATTCAAATATTTTACGATGCAAGATTACTCGCCTCAAACAAACTTCCCACTTGTTGCTAACCTCAGTAAGTGTATGAATTAAAAGTGCTCGCATCATAATAGAGCGAGTGACGATTAATATGGTTCAATGTAATAATAACTCCGCGTCTACGACTTCATGAGATCGGAAAGTCTTCGGACTTTAATTCGGATTTAACGTGTATAGCCGGTCTATTTTCAAAAATTAATACGGGTTCTAAAAGATGCTTTCTAAAACAAAACGATATATCTCGCCACAATATATGGATGTTTTAATATTTAAATAAGTTTTCTTAGAGACGGCTTTGTGTTATTTTCTTGGCCGGCATCCATTTAAGCGTCTACGTATGATGGCGCGGTGGCTTATGGTAATTGTTTTTGGTTTGTTCCTTTGCGATAATTTGGGTCGTGTTACCTGCGCCGATGAATGCAAGAATCACGCAGATTGCGATAGCAGTATACTGACACCGTTTTGCTGCGGTGGCTCAATGATTTCAGGAGGCGACGCAAGTGTGAAACAGCGAAGCTGTACGTTTGGTTCGTGTTTATATCACTATTGTGCAAACGACAGTGATTGTAGCGATCAATTATGTTGCCGGTCAAACAAATGCGTCAGAAAGGGTTGCAATGGATGTGCTAAAACTTCAGACTGTAATATTGGTCATGTTTGTTGTAAAAAGACTTTACCTTTGGAAAAAACTGTCTGCGGCGACAACTGTGTCAACCAAACCTGCAATTCCAACGATGACTGCGCTGGCAAACGAGAGTGTTGTCGATCAGGGAAGTGTACTCGCATAGGCAGTGTACATCGGATTCTGAATGCAATTTAGACCAATACTGTTGCAAGCGGCAAAACTATTGGTATTAAAGAGATAACTGTGCTAAAACTTGTGTTGGTGAGCTTTGTACTGCAGACAGGGACTGTGGGGCTGAAAATGAATGTTGCATCTCTAATAAATGTGTTGATCGTGGTTGTTCTGGATGTATTACTAACTCGAACTGCAGCATCGGGCATTACTGTTGTAGAGGACATTCATGGTATGGTGATGATCTCCGCGCGTGTAGTGCAAATTGCATTGGAAGAATTTGTAGTAGAAGCGAAGAATGCGGTGGCCCGGACGAGACTTGCGACTCAAGTGACAGATGTTCCGTACAAAACAACAAAGCATCTTCAACTAACTCTTCTCCGCCATGGCTGATCGCTTTCTTTCCACAAGTTTAGTTGTAATTTTTATTGCTGTTGGAATCCTAGTGGCTGTGTTTAGGTACGTCAAAATGAGGCGTTCGGCGAATGCTTCTCAAGCGAGAACGGAACTATCTTTCCAAAACACACAATATGAAAACGCGGGTATTTCGAGTCAGCAACAAAACACCCGACCTTCTGGTCCTAACAATCCCACTGCATCTCGTAATCAAACTCAACATGTCGATTACAAAAATGTTGCTAACAACGTCCACAATCCAATTAGCGACCCTCAAAGATTCCCGAATGTAACGCAGGGCTCTTCTAACCAGCAAACCACCGTATCCCTAAATGGCAAAAATACATCCCATGCACGACAGGGGAACGAGAATCGTGGATTCTATCTCAAACCTACTCAAAACTACGAAAATCAAGGTCGACAATTACAAGTTGAAAGGAACAACAAAGCCTACCACCACTATAATATACAACACGACTTTTATCAGCGTCGTCAAACACACGGACACTACAGAACTATCAAAGTGGCAGAGGCAGAAAACCAATCGACCAGCTAGAGATTACAATTTATTTTCTATACGCATTTTCCGGAGATTCACTTTAAAATTTTAGCTTTTTAAAACTCTTTTGATAGTTTTTTTCATTTGTATGTCAAAGCTTTGGCACATAGTGCACCATGCATAATTGCATGCATGTATACTGAAACTATATATTTGAGCTGAGAATTATGCACATTCTCTGTAAAGCCTTTTACCGTTTAAAGCAAAGAATTTTTATTGCAAAACATATTCAATACAGAGCAAGTGAACTTAAGCGATTGGACTATGTATCGTTTAAAATTAAAGTACGCTTGAATTTAGGAACTGTATGGCCCTGAACAGCAGCAGTAGTTAGGACCGCAACCACCAGTGTTGCAAGAATGGTAACGGTAAATTGCTAGGCCCACTTTGTTCACATCTGTATCAGCCAACTTATTGTCAGCCAACGATGGGCGATTCTTGTAGACATGTAATGACTCCACACACCTTGTATTAAGCAGCCTATAGAAAAAAAGCCAAGAATATATAATGCCAAGAATATATAATATATCATTCATTATTTGTTTCAGTATATGACACCAAAAAGATCAACTTAATAATAAAAGTGAAATGATAATAACTATATTAATAATGATAATGGTAATTATATTAATAATAGTAATTATTGATAATTTACACTGCAAAAATCCACGAGTAAATCTTACTCAATTATTGAGTATTTTTCAATATTATGCAAACATTTGAGTTAAATATACTCACTGCTTGAGTAAAATAAATTTTACTCCTTTATTTGAGTAAGAATAACTCAAGAATTCGAGTTATCTTGTTTGAGTAATTTCTACTTATCATTCACTATAGTGAAAGCAACTGTGCAATGGAAAAAATTATTCGCACAGCCAGACCGTAAAATGGAAATTTTTAAATATGCCACGTGATCAAAAACAGTCAATTAAATTAGAAGATATTATATTATTGAAGGAGTTATATAAAACTATATAATTATATTTCATCGAATTCTATCAAATGATAAAATGATAAAATCAAATACAGTCAATTCAAATCAACTAATGTAAAATATAAGTAATAATAAGCTTTCGATCGGATTTATTAAATTCGGGTATTCATATTCGCTGTTGTTTTACTCTTTCTTACTTTTTGGAGTTCCAGATTTGCCCTTCCTTTCTTACTTGTTGCGAAGTGCAAACTTTGTGACATGTTTCTTTGCTTTTGATACTACAAGTTCGACGAACTGCAAAGTACAGACGTACGGTATTTCCCATCGCAACACAAGCACTTGTTGCCATTTCATCCAAGTAGTTTTCAAAATACGATTTGAAGCCGCGCTTTACTGCGAAAGGAAAAAAAATCGACAACATTTAAGCCGGTTTTCCATGCACTAGACGAAATTTTTTCCACCGAACTAAATTTTTCGTCCGATATTCTTTTCAATTGTGAAAATTCCATCCTAGCGTATTCTCTTCACCGGTCACATTAAAGAAGAAAATCGAGCGAATCGTTCCATCGAAAATTCCGCCTATAGTGGAAAACCGGCTTTATTGCGAGTGACTCACGAAAAATCTTTTAACGGTTAACAAAAACATACATTTGGAGAATTTCTATAATTTATAAAGGCAGTTACACTGAGCAATTAAGCTGAAGTATAATTTTCAGGTCTCTTAGATTGCCTTACACGATGCAGCACAATATCGCCCTGTACCGAAATTGGTACATTGTTTTATAGGGGAACAATAAGACTTAATTAGTTATCTAAATAAAATTACAGGATGGTAGGTAATTAGCATTGTTGAATGCATTAATTTGGTTCACAAATAGTCGTGGGTTTGGAATAGAGACCCTGTAATCATTGCCTGGAGAGAACACGGCATTTTTGTTTCGAAGATCGAGTCCAGGGGCAAGTTGTATCAACCACCATATATTATGCACTGAATATGTAGTTGTAACCAGTATCATTGTATTAAGGTTAAAAACATTTAGGTCGCTTTCTGAACGAAACGATAAACTTGCTTTCTATTCACTTGAGCTTATCCACCGTTTAAACTAGACGGGCTTGATATATATAACCGGCACCAATGCAATATACAGCTACGCACACCTTCTTTACTAACCTTGTGCACGGGGTGCAGCGTCTACCAACAAAAAGGAGGCCACAGCAAACAGAACGGCAAAAGTGGTCAGGTATCCTTTCATAGTTCTCGTGAATTAACAGCTATAACAGAGTATTACGGATGAGTTTACGAGTTGATGAGTTGAAAAAAATATACACCCTCCTTTACACACATATGTATGCGCGACAAATCAAGTCTATCGTTTTATTCAAGAAGCAAACTATATGTTTTCAACCTTAATACAAAGATACTGTGTATAATATTCAAGTTGACTCATTCAAGAGTGATGTAAGAGTGTTATTCAATTTTGACTTTAATCCACCGTTTAAGCTAAACGGACTTGATACAACCAGCACCTAATTTTGCTGGACATTTTCTCTGTGTAGTGAAAGATCTGCTCACAAGTGTTATCGCTAAAATTCAGGCATCGCTAATTTGGTAAATTTCAACCATATTGGTTATTGTGCGTGTATATAGTGCGTGTATGCTATTTTATAACGTCCAATACTCACATGTGAATAATTCGGTTCAACAAAAATTAAACATTGCGTGAAAGAAATTATGATCGAAATTGCTAAGCATGCAATAATCGACATACCTTTTTCGAACTAGCTTTCTTTAAAATTTACAAATGCGTAAATTATAAGCTCCAATAATTCACCCAATCCAATACTTCAAGATTCGAATGAAAGAAATGCTGATCCCTTCCACTTATATGCGCACGGCAGAACGTTAGTAACCAGTGATCATGCAGCATACACTCAACACTTGTCTTGGCATTGCAACTTCCTTTGCAGACAAGGAAGCCAAACACAAAATCAACTTCCTTCAGCAAAATAAGATTCCATTTCTACGTAAATACTATGCGTTTTTTTACATAAAACAAGAGCCCTACTAACTCGTGTTCCGCTTTAGGAATTTTGATCAGATCAACAAAGGTGAATAATGTTAGCCAATCTGTTCGTTTATTTACATTTTTCGTCCTTGACCAATCACCATGTTCTAAGCCCTCCGATAGTGCCATTCGATATTAAACTTTTCACTCCAAAACTAAAAAATTGTGACAAAGCGTGACTTTTTCTTGAATTTCCTTGCGGGGATTTTTTAAATTCGATCCACAACGCAGTTATTGTTGTTTGAATAGCCGTGTGTCAACGCGCGTAAAATAGCAGACACTCTAATAGCCTGTCTTTGAAACGCATATGAAATACTTTGCAGACTCCATAAATTTTGTACTTAAACGTATTTCCTTCCAGAAGACTGACTATAATGTAGTAAAGACGCTATTCTGTGGTACAAAATTCTAACCATTACAAACACAACATAGTAAGCTACAACTGCATTAAGACTTATATCAATGTCTGAAAGTTAATATGATTTTTTACAAATGTCACAGTCATTAAACACATTTGCTACAACAAGAGTATGGCTATGAAAAACAATGCCAGAATTAAGACTATCACGCGAACCCAGGAAGGGTCTTTCTGAGTAACTATAATCTATATGCATGCATGTATTTAGTAGTTAGGGATTCAGTTTGCATTGGGTCCTATATCTATCAGTAAAGGCTTTTTCCATTCATCGCCAACTCGCAAGCTCTCTGCTATAATGTTTGCATCTAATTAACATAAACTGTCAAGCATTGTAATTCGACAAAGTTACTCGACAAAATTGCGATGAGTGACTCAGAGTGAGTGAGAACCTTCAGAGTGTATTAATAGCGATGCTTTGCTGTGTTCTGGCTTTTCGGAAGTATAGGCTAATTCCTGCTTCGTTCCTATTCGATCCATTAATTAGCTCGCCTGCACTTTAGTGCAAGAGAGCTATTGCTATAGTCTTGGCGTCCGCGTCCCCGTCCCCGTCCCCGTCCCCGTCCCCGTCCCGTCCCCGTCCCCGTCCCCGTCCCCGTCCCCGTCCCGTCCCCGTCCCCGTCCCCGTCCCCGTCCCGTCCCCGTCCCGTCCCCGTCCCCGTCCCCGTCCCCGTCCCGTCCCCGTCCCCGTCCCGTCCCCGTCCCCGTCCCCCCCGTCCCCGTCCCCGTCCCCGTCCCCGTCCCCGTCCCCGTCCCCGTCCCCGTCCCCGTCCCGTCCCCGTCCCCGTCCCCGTCCCCGTCCCCGTCCTCGTCCCCGTCCGCGTCCACACTACATGATAAGTAGAATGTTAAGATGCCACTTTTATTTTCCCATTATTTTCAACTTATCTACTTAAGGAGTCTATTTGTTGCAAAAGAACCATTTACCAGGGGGAGTGAACATTATACAACAAAATATATGATAAGGTCAATGTTAAAATGCTATATTTTTCTATACTTTGGCTTTACATCAGAGGAATCATTATCAATATAAGTCATCAATATGCATTGTGACTATTTATTGCCATTTGGTACACATTTATACAATAATAAAGAGAGTTTTGCTCAAAATTATCAAATGATAAGGTGAATGTTAAGCTAATTAGCATAATGATAAGGTCAATGTTAAGATGTTATATTTTTTAAATATTTTGGCTTTGCATCAGAAGATTCATCATAAATATAGCTCATTGATATGTCTTGTGACTATATGGTGACATTTAGTACACATTTACACAAAAATAATGGGAATTTTGTCAAAATTATCAAATGATAAGGTGAATGTTAAGCTAATTAGCATAATGATAAGGTCAATGTTAAGATGCTATATTTTTTAAATATTATGGCTTTACATCAGAGGAATCATCATAAATATAAGTCATAGATATGCATTGTGACTATTCAGTGCCATTTGGTACACATTTATAAAATAATAAAGAGAGCTTTGCTCAAAATTATCAAATGATAAGGCAAATGTTAAGCTTATTAGCATCATGATAAGGTCAATGTTAGAGTTATCCAGAGTTATCACGCTCATTACGATTTTCAGGGCTATTGTGTAGCCCTGTTTTTTTTAGTTCAAAGTTGTAGCTGAATCATATTTAACGAAACTATTTGTACAACCCTAAGCCAAATGAGAAACTTTCAAATATTTTCACCTGTATGCTACCATTTGTTTGTATTGTACATGTACAATTATAATTATGAGATTGTGTTGTGACATGCCGTATCAAAATTCAATCGCTTAATATAGAAATCATTCAGGGAGTGAAAATATATAAAACATAGTCCAACGTTAAAGTTTAAAGAATATTGTCAGATAATTCGCAATTACAAGCTTTAGCACATAAGTATTTATAAGTAGAAAGCCGATAGGCTCGGAATGCAAAGGCAAATAATGGCAACGCATGTGACATATATTTGCATATTATTTATGTAGATACACATGCAAATATATTATTAAAGCACCTATAAGATTTATGTACATACCTTTTCGTTGTTTGATGCATAATCCTTTTTTGTGTAGATATAAAAATCCAATCTTGTTTATTTCATAAAGCTAGGCGCATACACGACGATTTTAGTCGGCCGATTCCTGTCTAGATTGTCTAGATGGATGTTTTTAGTGGTGGGCGATACCGATACCAAATTAAAGTATCGATACTTCCGATACTCAGAACTCAAAAGCTGGTATCGATACTTTTGTAAAATATTGATGTTTTCGATACTTGTCACGTGGTCAAACTATTGTTAATATTTGATGTTACATGAAGTTCTTCTATTAATATTTGCATGAATACAGTTTTATTTCCAGTCATTTTCCAGGTGTTCTTCAGTTTAATGCAATCTTTTTTGTAAAATTACTCAAATGGCCTAAATGGGATCTATATCGAATGTTCGTCCACAAAGTGTAGTCTAGGATTATTTTGAAAAGTTAGATACCAGTAAAGAATGATTATTGTTGTTGTAAGAATACATTACATTTACTGATAGTATGTGTATTTTTGTGTCTAATGACAAGTATCGGTATCGAAAAAGTATCGATACCAGTGGTATCGATGAAAAGTACTTGGTATCGTATCGAAATCGATACTCACGGTATCGCCCACCACTAGATGTTTTCATCAAAATGTGGCGACTGGCAATCTATACTTGGTCAGATTAGACCAAGTAGACTCGCGTACACGCGCGAGGCGCGAGCGCCACGAGAAGGAAAACATGTCTGGGCAAGGGCTGCCTATATGTCTAAACCTGAATGGACCAACTACCGTAAAATCGTTGTGTGTGCGCCCGGCTTAAAGCAGGGACTTTTGCCTGGTCCGTTAACTTACCTGTTGATATCACGTGCGCGGATTGCGAGAAACGGAAGAAATATTGGTCACAAATAAAACTAATGTAATTCCGAGGCCAGTAATTCTGAGGTCACAACTAATATCTGAAGTTTGTGCTTAATATTACCTTCCAACGCGGATTTTAGCCTTGTAATTTGTAATAAAAAGATCGGTAATTTGTGCTTCATACAGATACCTTTCATACAGAGTTTAGCCTTATTCTAGACAAACAGTGCAGGCGAGCGTTAGGTGATTTCAGCACCTCTCTGGTTGTATAATGAGATCATATATATATATATATATATATATATATATATATATATATATATATATATATATATATATATATATATATATATATATATACAATTCCCTAAACCACGCACAAAAAAAACCACGCAGCAAGCTACTACCATTTTGAGATGATCAAGTATTTCCTCTGCATAATATCATTCTATATAGAGAAGCTATTAATATCCATATATAGATGTCAATCTGATATCCTTTAGAAAACAATGACAATGCGAGCTGAAACGACAGGCAGACATTCACAATAATTTACATCAAAAGTGGTATAACAACCGCCTAAAATAGACAAAAAAAACTTCTTTATGTTTCGCCTGTTTGTTTTGTAGGGCCCACAGCAATTAGTTTTAACTGCAAGATGTGGAGTTCCAGCGATTCCATCAATTTTTGAAGTGCTGCATTGCACCGTATCGTATCGTATCGTGTATCATGATTGACTGTGTGTTAATATCTTGTAACTTCATCTTATGGTTTTGGTCTAAAGTTTGTTAGAAGATCTAAGAACACTATAAAAAAGCTATTGCATATAATATTATCATAGTAATAATCAATCACTCAAAAGTTATTAATACATTTAAGTATCATTCTACAGAACTTACGCATGGATGTCGCGTTAATCTTTGTAATGAAACAAAGACAAGCATAAAATGCGGATTAAAATAGTGACCAGTTTTGAACAACAACTGTACAGAGTCTTTTATTGAAGTGCATTTGCGTGCCAAGTCCCAAGATGTCATTATTAGACTTATTACATGAACTCCACATTCTTATATAATTTTTAATTACTTCACTTTAAAGTTTTTTTTCTTTAAATATAGTATTCTTCATTGTATATGTGAATATTTTTGGACGTTAAGAGTAACTTTAGTTAAGACGAATATCTGTAAATATTGTCAGTATATTGCATTAGTTTAAAGTAAACATTCAATTTATCGAAATGTAGGTAGCCGTCGTTTTACAGTAACCTGCGCTTTTTTTTGAAGCACCTGCCAATCTACTGCTTTTATTTATAAACTTTCTCTGGCTACAAGCATGGAATACAACGACATTCTGGTTCACAATAACGGAGCTTGGGCGGGCCAGATCGTAGTTTACTGAAATCGAAGGCCAAAGCTTTGAACGAGATGTAAGAGGCCGACTGACTCTCGCGCGGGAACTTGCACATGCACTTCATCAACCAGAATAGGCTGATCCTTAACCAACTATTCAGCTTTGTAATTAAGTTAGAAATGTGGGTTGGCTTTAGAAGCT